TGCTGCTTGCAGTGCTCCCGGGGAGGAGGAGCGGGCTGGGCGGAGGATGAACGCGGGGCTGTGAATTAGGGGCTGACCCCGTGCTCTTGCTGCTTCGGGATGGGAACAGCGACCCCCTGGCAAGGGATCCTGTTCAGTAAGGTTGCGAGTGGGATGAAAATCCCACAGAAGTGGGGTCGCGAACCCACAGAAGCTGGCGAGCTTGGCTTTCGAAGGACGCGCCTGGCGCGGGCGTGCCGCAGCCCTGCGATGCTAGAGCTGAGGGGGGAGATGGCCCAGACCAGAGAAGCTGCAGGGAGTTAGGGCAAAATAGAGGAGAAGGTGAAGGAGCAGGTGGGAATGAGGTCCTTTGTGACGGCCCTTCCGTTGTAAGCGTTTCTGGAGACCTGAGGGGTGAAGTTTTGCTTCCAAGGTAATTTTCAGGGGAAAATGGGCAAAACCATCCTGCTGGAGGCCACGTAAGCAGATGTGGCGTTAGTTTTAGTGGTTTTCCTAAAGCTCAGGAGGTAGCTTGAAAGAGCCTTTGTTCGAGGCCTTCCTTGCGTGGCAAACGCTGCACAACTCGCACCTTGTTTTAGTTTTGCAAGGACGCGAAGTGCCTTCTGAACCCAAAACCAAGTGATGGGCGGTAACTCAAGCGGGATGGCAACGTGAAATACAAAATCATCCTTCGTTTTGGCTCTGAGACTCTGTGTAGTAAGCACGCTACAAAGTCAGTCTTTTCCCTGGAGGTCCCACGCTCTAAACTGGGGGGGGAATAGCTTATTCAGCTATTTTTAGCTTAATTTAGCTTGCTGAATCTCAAGTCCCGGAGTGATTGAGTTGGTTAAGGTGATAAGAAACCGTAAGTTGCGGTCAGCTCTCCTGCCGCCGTGGCCAGTACCTCGAGAAAGGGGCTCTCTTCCCTCTCAAAGGAAAGAAAAATGGGAAAAAGTGTTTGAGCTTTCCCAGACGAGGGCAGGAGCAGTCCCAGCGGCTGCAGGCCGTTGGTTGGCAGGTGGGCGCAGTACCGACTTGTCTGAGCGCAGTTTGGTCCCTGGGCTGCTGCTGTTGTTGTCTTAGGAGGTGAAGGCGATCGGGGGCTGGAGCACCTCTGCTGTGAGGACAGGCTGAGAGTTGGGGTGGTTCAGCCTGGAGGAGAGAAGGCTGCGGGGGGACCTTGTAGCAGCCTCCCGGTGCCCGAAGGGGGCCTGCAAGAAGGCTGGAGAGGGGCTTTTTCCGAGGGCATGCCATGACGGGACAGGGGGTAATGGCTGTAAACTGAAAGAGGGTACATTTCAATTAGATACGAGGAAGAAATTCTTCACCGACACAAGCGCCGCTGTCAGCCCAGGCAGCCCTGGGGACCTTCACCTACTCACGGGGCAGCGAAACCCCCAAAACCAGTGACCGGGCTGGCCAGAGCTGCCTATCCACTGAGGAGGAACGTCACAGCTCAGCGCCCTGCCGCGGCAGGCGGCCGGCAGAACCCCTCCCAGCCCCGCGCTGCCAGAGCATCGCTCGACCTGCCGTTATCCGATTGCTGCCCGAGCTGCGCTGGGAAGAGAAGCGCTCAAATCCTCTTTGCTGAGCACTTGGCTTCAGCGGAGAGGGCGCAGCCTTAGAGACAAGGGGGCAGGTTTCCCGGGCAGAGGCAGGCAGGGATTTGCGCGCACGCGTGCTGCCGTCCGCGACGTGCGACGCTGGGGCCTTCGCTTGCCGGTACTACGGGCTTTAACGAACATCTCGCCATCCCGTCCATACTCCGGGCCCTCCCGGGGGTGGCAAGAAGGGCACCCTCCGCAGGGAGGAGAACCGACTGAACGTACAGCGCAGCCAGCAAGCCATAGGCTGGGCTGGAGAGAAAGCTATCCGAGAGGGCCTCCCTCCCACAGAGCTGACTTCCAAATACCTCTTAATGTCACAGAGACAGCTTTCTTTGGAAGAAAGAGGCCAGGAAGGGTCCGGGTACCGCAACGCCTGCTCTTCCATTGTGTCCCACCATCGCAACCACGAGTTTCCCCCACTACTTGGGCAGGGCTGTCTCCCTGCCTGCTCCACACTCACCTTTCTCTCCAGAAATCGAGTAGATGCTGTTGTGCCGAGAGCTCCTGCCTTTCTAGAGAGGTAGAGAACAAAAATACAGCCGCGTTAGTTATATCTCAGGCAGAGGCGGCGAGAACAGTCCCTTTCAGGCCAGCTGCAAAGCTCTGAAGGGACAGGGCTAGCTTCACCAAGCTTTCCGCTATCCACTCCCTTTGGGAAACTTGAAAATACTTACTGTTGTTCCCTTAAAGAGCACTACAGAGCACCGATTAATTAATTTGCACTTGCGAGAGGTCCTCCTGGGAGAAGCAGGAAAGAGCTCTGTATCAAAAATCAGTTCTGAGATGTGCTGGTAGCATCTGAGGACGTACCCTGGCACGGGCTAGCCTCACTGCAGCCGCGCTTCAAATCAGCGCGGAACCAGGCTCGCTGGGGTTACGTCCTTGACTCCAGCCCCTACCGTGACACTGCAGCGCCCGGGATGCCAAGTCTGCTAGGGGCTATTTTCATGCCTAAAAATAAGCTTGAACTTGTCTACAAATACATTTCCTACACCTTCCAGCTTATCCTGCCTCCTGACATCACCCTATTTTCCGTCTTGTTAACAGACGCGGGCTGCTCCTTCTGCACCAGGCACGGCCCTCTCCCCCGGCCAGTCACCGTGGCTGACCGCCCGCGGAGAAACCAGCCCTCACCTCGCTGTCCCGGCTGGTGCGGCGGCTCTGCGTCACACACTGGATCTGCCAGGGCAGGGGCTGGTACACGAGGTACGGCAGGGGCTCTTCACGGAACAGGCCGGTCCTGAGCTGGGCACGGAAGGGATTTGCGTCAGAGGACGGGAGAGAAGCGGCGGAGCAACAGAAAGAGCTGCTCCTCCATATGCGTCAGCAGCAATCGCAACCCGTGGTGGCCTTGCCAGCTGCGGCGACGCTCAGCGCGTCTCCCCAGCACCACGCCGACGAGCGATTCTCATCGCGAGGGCGTGGGGCTGCAGAGCTCGTGGGTAGGGCTGAGCCCCCGTGGCTCCGCGTGAAGCACGGGCGGCCCAGACCTCCTGCCCAGAGGGGCGCGCAAGGCCGTGCCCACCACGGGTGCCTCTGGGGACAGGGAATTGCAGAGGGCAGGAGCTGGTGGGTGGAGAGACCGCAGGAGAGGCCGGAGGGCATGGGCGCAACAGGGAACTGCCCTCTGCAAGCTGCTGCTGAACCTGCTAATGTGATGGCGCCGAAAACGCAAATGCGCTCCCAAGCCAACGCCGCGGGCAGCTGGCTGAGGACGCGTGGGCCCGCCGGGCGCGTGGTGCAGCCCGGCCCACGAGAACGGCCGAGCCCGCGCTCCCCACCTTCTCTAACAAGAAAACCCCCGTGCTTCTAGAAACGAAGCGGAAAGCGTTAAATCCCACCCGCTGCCAGGCCAGCCCAGACTCACCTGTCCAAACGCTCTCACCACGAAAAACAGGGCTGTCATCAGGGTCGCCAGCATGGCTGGGGGCTCCGAGGGCTCCCTCCGTCCCGGGAAGTTGGAGCTCTGGGAGCGACGCACAGCCGTCTCTGACTAGCCAGGGACTGAGACGCCCCTTCTCCGGCAGGCAGGCTCCAAGCCGCTTAATGAGCTTACGGCTCGCATTCGTCTTGGCAGAGTAATCGCGCACTGTCCTTTTGCTCTTCTAATCGCCGAGTTTCTCCAGCGTATACAGTATTGGCATTCCAGGAAAAGCAAATCCTCTTCTCTGCCTGCAGACGCAGGGCGGTGCGCACAGACCCCACGCCTTGGAGCCACGAGCCCGGGCAGACCTCCCCTGCTCCGGACGGCTGCTCGGCAGGATTACAGCAAAGCGGAGGCTGTGCTTCACCCAAAGCGCCTACGCTTCGGCAGGGATGTGGGATTTCTCAGAGCTGCCCCGGGCTCCTCGCACAGCGGCTGCCTCGGGGGCGGGGCAGGGGACCTGTCCCCAGAGCGCCCACCCGGACAGCACGCGTGGCCATCAGAGACCTCCTCCAGCAGCTCTGATCGCAGCTCTCCAGCGGGCAAAGACACACAAGTGCAGATTGCGCACAGCAAGAACTAGGGTGACTCGAGGTTTGGCGGGGGCTCGTGTTTTGTTTTGAAGGACGTGCCTCGAACTACCAGCCTCCATTTCTGCACGACCGGCTGACCCACATCGTGTTCTTCCCGAGCCTCACCAGCCTCCGGCTGCGGCCGCTTCCCTCTCCCCAGCCCGCAGAGCGGCAGTCGCGCTCCTCGCTTCCCAGCCCGCTCTCCCCAGGCGGGGCACAACCCTGCGCAGCAGCAGCCCAGCCCCGCACGCCTCCGCGTGCCTCACGCATCCTCCGGCCACGTTGCGCTTTGTCTTCTCTTGTACCAGTGGCTCAAATCGCATTACGATCGCCATCCATCTGAACCTAGGCCTGCCAGCGGGCAAGGCGCTGCGCAGAAAAACCAGAGCTGGAGAAACGAGGGCAGGTGTCGAACCTCCCCTCTCCCCACCATTGCTGCCAGCAGCCGCGTTACACATCTGCAGCCTCCGCCCTGGAGGGGCCCCAGCCAGGACACGTGCGGCAAATGCCCCCTTTGTGAAGGGAATGAAACACGGACTCCGCATATGAGTTCAGGCGAAGACACGCAAAGACACTTTATTTTTACAATCTATCCCCTTTATAATATGATCTAGTGTTCACGAGCAAGCAAAACTTATTTCACTGGTTACTGTCTTGCATCCACGCGTCTCTTCAGCGTTACTTATTGGTTCTACAAGTTGGTGCACGTGAATTCCTCTTTCAGGAACGTATCCAGTCTCGTCCTTATTTTTCTGCCTCTAAGTTTCACAAACTTGTTTGTAACAAGCCTCAAGGGCACAGCTGCATCTCGTCAAAGTGAAACACAATCTCATTTATTCCCACACCTCTGGACCGCAGCAGCCTTCACTGCAGCGCTCGGAGCCACGGGACGAGCCGAGTCTTTCACGAGAGACCACCTCAGAGGGAAAAATCCCAGAGGAGCAAACAGGCGCAGCCTGGGAGGGCTGCTATGGGTGTCCCAGGGCTGCCGGAAGGCGGCGGGAAGGGGAAAGGAACGAGCGCATCGCCGATCCCGCCCGATTCCCGGCAAGAGCGGCGATCAGCGATCCCGCCGGCAGGACGCCAGCAGGCACGCTGCCGCGGCAGCGGCGCCTGACGCACCGCGTGGGGGAGAGTCACGGCCGCTGCGAAGTAGATGGCGAAATCGGTAGCAACAGCCCATCTGCCGAGTTCGCCACTTGTAACGCATCCCAGGCTGCCGGAGAGCCGCTCTGGAGCGGAGCGGCCCTGCTCCCCGCTGGCACGACACCTTCTCCCCCTTTGCCAGGGAGAACCCCCCACCCGCGCCGGCGGAGACCCGAGCGCCTTCGCCCCTCCCCAGGTGCCCAGCCGCGCCGGCCTTGGGCTCTTCCTGCACACCGCCCATCCTCCAGCCTTGACATAAGGCTCCAGAGCAAGACGAGCATTGTAACGAGCCTGGGTGACAGTTCTGTGAAAAGGGCGGGATGGGGGCCCAGAAAAAGCCGTCCTGCTGGCTGAAGGCCCCATGAAGAATTGCTTTTGTGGTTTTCTTTTTTAGCTTTCTATCTGCCCCCGCATTTGCTACCCCGGCCAGATACCGAATAGAAGAATGGTAATAAAGCCACGGTGAGCTGAAGCAGTCGTGGAAATTGCCAGAAATGACCTTGACAAGACAAAACCTGAAACAGCCCGGCGACAAGCGAGGGGAAGATGCGAAAGCTAAGTACAAGCTGGGCATCTAGAGCTACAACAACATCTCAGCAAGAAAAGAACCAGAGCTACCAACGTCGGCATCGTACAAAACAGGCTCACGTTGATTTAATTTGCGTACAAAGCCAGATACGGCTGCTATCGCAGGTTTTAACAGGAAAAAGGAACGTGTTTCAGACCGAGCTATTGCTAAGACAACAGGCATTTCTCTGCACCCCTAACAGACGCCTCTCCGAACACACAGATCGGACTCCGCGTGCGGTGCGGGGCACAGCATCCACCGGGCTGACAGCCTCCCCGTGCTACAGAAAGCCAGAACCGCGGGGTCCCTTCTCAGACGCCGAACTGGAAGGACTGCCGTGTCTCCCGCCAACAGCCAGGAAACTAGAAGCAAAATCCCTACAGACAGGGCTCGGTGCAATCCGACAGCGGCCGAGAAACCTGCGTTTTGATCCATCCCTCCCTCCAGAGGGCTCCTCCGGGCAGCTGCCCTTCCCCCTTCGGGGCATCTGAGGTCTCCGGTTCAGCCAGAGCCGGGAAGAGCTGGCTGGGATTTCCTCGGCAAGCACACCAGGGAGACGTTCTCTACCGGCAGCGCCTGCAGGTGGGAGAACGTGCCCCTGACCAGAGGATGGAGCTCTCCGAGGACAAAGGCTGGCCAAGTAATTAAAAAAAATTCCAAGAAAAACCAGAAAAAAAAACCATACGGGCATTCTCAAGAGTTTTAAAACAGTGCTCATCAAAAATATAGTTCTATTTGCATGCAAGCATTCCCCTGCCACGCTCGCAGCGTGAGCTCCTGCGGTGCCGTGCCGGTACGCAACGCGCGGCATGCGAAGCAGGGGGGGGTCTGCCTTCCTCGGCTGCGTACCATCAGCCCCGGCGAGGAACAGGAATGGCACGGAAGGGTGCAGAGCAGCAGCTTACCACCCTCCCTGCATCAGCCAGCTCTAGAGAGCACGCCTTTGAAGATGATTTCTCACAGATGGGATCCCTTGAAGTGCAGACTTCTTCAGACAAAATGGCAAGAGGTTCAGCATTTTTTAAAGCATAAAATATTTAAAGTCAGCTTGGAGGAAATACTGACAGAGACAACCGAATAGCACATTTCCCGCTCAGCGGTACGAAAACCTCGCCCAACTTCTCCCCGCCGGTTAGAGCAACACCATCTGACCCCGCCAGCTCCGCGCATCCCACCCCGAGCTCCAGATCCCTCTCCCGGGCACGGATGGAAGCGGGGGGCTTTGTCTCCACGCTCACGCCAGGCTGCGTGCCTTACCAGTGCCTGCACCGCCGGACGCCGCCCCACGCCCTCCTCGTTCTCTTGCCATCCCAGCCCCGCGTTGCCATCAGCACGCTTGGCACGCAGAAGAGATCCCGCAGCTGCGCTGCGCAGCTCTGGCCGGCGCGGCAGAAAGCGGGAGCAGGGAGCGCTTTCCCAGGTCTGCCCTGAAAAGCCGCTCCTGGTTTCGTCCCAGTTGCTTCCATCCCCGAAAAGAGAGCAACGTTTCCCGAGAGTCGGAAACCACCGTTCCCCGATTCTGCCCCCGACGCTACAGCCCTTTCGCTGCTCGTCCTCCCCTGCTCCCGCGCGCACCAGAGGCCAGGCGACCTGGCCCACCGGCAATTCGGCATTTGCCGGGCACCGGTGGGGGCTCGTTCCCCGACGCGTTTCCTCTGGCAGAGCCGCGGCTGGATTAACGTCCTCCCCCTTGACCGGTTACTCAGGGTCCCCCGTGATTCACAGCTCTGGCTCACGACTGCTAGAATGCTAATGAGAGAACTGGATTAAACAGTCTATAAAGTATATTTGGACACAATACAGGATTGGAAGAATCCAGCTGGGAAGTTCGCTTCCTCCTTCCTCCGCTCTCTTGCGCAGAGCCTATATTTCAAGGGCACGGCCCAAAGACAGCGCGGAGGCGGCTGGGCATCACCGAAACCCAGCATCTCGTGAGGGGGCCCGCAGGGGCCCCAGCCACTGCCTCTCCAGCGCCAAGCCCCCCTTTTAGTAGCGGTACACTTTAATGTTGCTGTTTTCATCCAGTCTGAGCTGAAGCAGGCTGGAGCTGCCGGCCGGGGGCTTCTGTGCACCTGGGAAGAGAGGTCTGGCAGCTGGGTGAAGGAAAAGCCCGGCTTACGGGAGGGATTAGCAGGCACGAGCACAGCCAGCAGACAGGACAGGTATCGAGGGGCGGGAGCCAGCCTCGCGCACACGTGCTGCGTTTAGCCCGCTGCATCCGAGCCAAAGGGAATTAAAGGGGGATTAGGGCATTCGAAGGAGCGCCGTGCTCAGGACAGCGTGCGCTGTCGGAGGCCTGAGGGGTTTGCTGCTAATTTCAGCGTACGCCGCGGAGGAGATGCTGACAGCCCCAGCATAATGCTGTTACCCCGCAAACCTGGGAACGGCCCCGCTAATAGCGCCGAGGCCTCCCTCATTCGATGCAAGGCCATGCCTCCAACCGAGCTGGAGAGCGCGCTCCGCCGGGGAGCCCCAGCCCTCCCCGCCCGGCCACGCGGCCACCCCACGCGCCAGGCCCGCGCGGCTCCGGCCCCCTCGCCTCGTCCCGGGCTGCTCAGCGGGGACTGCCCCTAGCGGAGTCGCCCGCGGGGCTGGAGCGATGGCACCAAAGGCAGGCCTCCGAGACTAGGGCCCTGCTGCCTCCTCCGTTCTGCACCCTCTGGTTCATTTGGTTTTAATCCTCACATCACCAGCTCCAACTGCTGCGTACCACAGCAGAGCCGTGGCACCGCAGAGCGGCGCAGCCCGGCTGGGGAAAGGGAAGAGACTTTCTCTGTCAAGCCCAGGGCAAAGAACAGCCAACAGGTCACTCACGCTCTAACTGCTAAACATCGTATTCCTCTGCAGAACCGGGCGCCAAAATAGAGGCTAAGGCTTCGAAATTGCTGTTCGATGCTTTGGGGCCCGATTCCCTCACCTCCTGCCGCCGTCTCCTACTCGCTGCAGGAAGGTGGAGTGCAACAGAAGACCAGACGCAGGCAAAGGATACACTTTGGAATCCCTCTTGAAGTCTTCTAGCCATTTCTTGATGGCCTCAATCCTTCCTTCAATACTCATCTTGTCCGACTCACGGCTCCGGATCTGGGACTGCTGGAACAGCCGTAATTGCTCCCTGTTGCACGAGAGAGACGGCGCAAGTGGGAAAGAGAGGTCTAGGCAGAAACTAGCCCCGAAATGGCAAAGAAAATGAGGGGCTGCTACAGAAAGAGCCACGGTGAACAAAGAGCAACCTCCTCTTGGCTCAAAGTCCTCTGCCCAACCCCATCGTAGAGAAACACTGCAGCAGCCCCCCGCTATCAGGCTGCCGTCCTCCTTTTAGTCCGTGCAGCACTGGAAAGGCTGGGGCGGCAGCCTCCGCTCCACCCGCCCGCCCGGCGGAGCCGGCGAGGCCCAGCGCCGACACCCTCGGACCCTGGTCCTGGAACGAGGGCTGTCAGCACAGCCACGCCGCCAAGCGCGTGGCAGTAATAACTACTAGCTTCTGACTTGTCTGCTTAATACGTAGCTTTTGATTTTGCTATCTACCCGTTCTATGAAATGCGACCCGCAAATCATTCCAGGGAAATAAAAGCAGGACAACGAAACGACAACGGAAGGAAAAGGACCCTTACTCTGCAGGTACGTATCCCAGCTTGTTGTCCAGAGGCTTGGAACTGCCACCGAGCACCGGGAACCCACCTGGAAAACAGACATTAAGTACAGGCCCCCAGAGAAATCGCCAGTCTTTACATCTGGGCGCGTTTGCTTTCCTGTGCTATGGACAGACCGTCCTTACAAGCTGAGCCACCGGCCGAGGACACGGTGGCGTTAAGGAAGCCGAGATGGTGAACCCTGTCTGCAATTCACAGGAGGCTTCCAGTGAAGCAGGGCCATCTCCTTCTGCTCCCTTCGCCAGCAACGACGGCTTTCTTGGGTGCCTCTGAAAGGCTGAACTGCCCCAGAAGCAGGACGACGAGATCAGCCATATGCTGCAGTTCCCGGAACGAGGCTCTCGTTCCTTATCTTATTAGCACCCTTCCCATCGGCAGCACCAGCATCGGACGGGTGAGCCCGTTAGAACCTGCAGGGCTGTAAATCAAAAGTCGCAGGCAAGCAAGCAGATGGATTGACAGGAGACTGACCTGGGAAATACTTGTGCCATTTCTCTGCTAGGAAGCTGTCCACTGACTGTTTGGCTGCGAAGGAGTGGCTGGAGCTCAGCCCAGTGCTCCAGGCCCACCGGTCCACCAGGGATGCCGCGGTGGAGGGCACCGGGGAGCTCCCTGCCTGGACTCCTGCCAAGGAGGCATAGGTAGAAGGAGGGACGCCGTCGCAGGGTGTCGAGGTGAAGAGCGGAGACTGGCGATCGTTCGGAGCGCCCAAGACGCCCAGGACCCCCCTCAGTTCACTGCTGATACGCTGCAGGGAGTCTGTCAAGTACTTGATCTTGTCCAGCTGGGGGGCAGGCCGCAAATGGGGGAAAAAAGGGGTGACTGGGAAGGCAAGGGAGACGCCGCCTCCCCGGCAGGAGGCTCGCTCCCCACTGCGCGTCGCGCCCCGAGCCGAGCCTGATCAGCGTCTGCTAAGCGGGATAGAGAGGCAGAAACCTGGCTTTGCAGCCAACAGAGCAGATACGGGCTGACAACGAGGATTTGTGCCTTGGAGGCTGCTTGGGCACAAAGCGGAGGAGAAACCAGAGAGCGGGGACAAGACCCTCCAAAGCTGCAAGAACAGGGCCCGCAGGACAAGCGGGATAGGCACCGGTGCGTGCGCTTCACCCCCCTGCTCCGTCCCTCCGAGTTCTACTGTACCCTGCAGCACGCAGCCGTGAACGGCGGTTCCCTTGCAAGCGGCGAGCCCTCTCAAGGGCCGAAACCCCCAGTACGGCACCCTGCCCCTCCGGCGAGACCCCGGCGCGGGCCGACACGCTGTACTTCAGCGCTCCCACCGCGCGCCAGCTGAGCAGGAGGCAGAATGGCTTGGTCACACTTCACACGCTCGTAAAAAGCAAAGGTGTCGAGGCCACCAGCCAGGCTGGAGGTGGGACCGATGGGACCATCCTGACGGAAGGGCTCTCGTCTTAGGGCGAGAGAAGACCCTTAAGTTTCACGCGTGCCTGCGGGTATTTTACTGACCAGGGCCAGAGAGATGATCCCAGACCGGACAGATTGTCAGTCTGTTCCCACAGGGAAGCTTTCCATCTTTTCCTTAAGCTTCAGCCTTGCCAGCCCTTCTGCGAGCAACACAGCCCGCCTGCCTTCCCGGCTGTTTACGGGGAGCCCTCCTCCGCACCCGCGCAACTCCAGTTACAGGCAACTGGAGGCAAAGAAAAAAGCACAGGCAGCAGGCAGAGGGAACTGCAGCAGCCTCTCCTGCCAGAGACGTGAGGAAGAGGAAGGCCGGACACCCGCAGAAGAGGAAGACAGCTCTGCAACAGCAGCGGGAAGAGCTGAAGCCGGATTTTATAATCCGCTCGAAAAAGAACGGTAGAGATTTAAAGGGCAAGTTCTCACGCAGGTCCCATCCCTCTCACCTGCCGCTACAGGCGGGAAAGGAGTTTCTCACGTAAAACGTTGTACGCAGAGCAGTCCCCGTCACGGAGGACGGACCTGCCCCCGTCACGGAGGGCAGACCTGCCTTGGGCGCTAGCGAGCACGAGTCAGAAGAGCAGAAGGTACCTCCGAGAGGCGAGAGGGAAAGCCAGAGCCAGGTCTAAAGCATTAGGCGCTGGGCACAGCACATCAAGCCCGTCAGGCGCTTACGTTTAGGCTGATGCAGATTCACACTGGATGTGCTGTCTGTGTCCTCAGAGCTGCCGAGATCAAAAGTCACCGTCTTCTTGCACGCGGCACTCTTCAGCGTATCTTCGTCCGACAGCTGGTCAAAAGAAGGGAAACAACGCAAATAAATCCTCCCGTTCTGTCCCCGAAACATCAAAGCCGCTGGAATACCGCCTACAGCCAGTCTCCGCAGGCTGGACTGCGGAGACGGGCATAGGCCAGGCGACAGCAGACTCGTCTTCGGCCCCCGACAGCAAAATCTGAAAGTCAAGAGACCGCTCGGTCTCTGGAAGAAGCACGTGCGCGCACTGGAGGCCAAAGCCAACGGCCACGTGAACGGGCCCTTCTAGGCAGGAGGCCAAGTGCTTTGGTTTAAATAAGCCTCAAAACTCCCGCGTGGGCTGGGTTCTCTCTCTGCACCAAGGACAAGCGCTCGACCCTCAAAGGTCTCGTGCTCTCGCATCTGCTGCCGCCCTGCGCCTAAGGCCCCGCGGTCCCAGGCAGAGCCGAGCGGATCCCAGGGCTTGCCTCGGTCGGGAAAGCAGACCCGAGCCTAGCTCGCGCAAGGTGACCTGCCCTTGCTTTCTCGAGCCTCGAGTCACGCAGCTTTTTCAGGCTGCCTTCTGCATCCGCTCTGCAGCCCCACGCTTAACGGCGAGTCCAGGTGTCAGCAGCAGAGGGAAGGCTCAGCGTTTGCCGTCTCGGCCAAGATACAGGCAGTTAATAAGACATCCAAGCATCCTGATGTGAGGTTTGAGTTTATATCGTAGGATGCTTCAGCACGCTGGTGTTAACTGTGATTCGTTTCTGACCTAACGAGCACGCTTCTCGCAAGCCAGCGCACTCGGCAGGTTTGCTCCCCCCAGGTCCATCCCGGCCGCCAGCAGCCCTGCCTGGCAAGCTGCCGCCGTGGAAGAAAGTCTCCGTCCCAAACCCCAGCCCGCATCTGCCCTGCTGGCTGCAGAGCTAGCGAATCACGGGGGCCACGGCTCAATTGGGCTTGCCGTGCTCCCCGACCTTGCGACTGGCCGCCTCTCTCCCGCCGTTCTCAGACAGGCGCACCGTTCTGCTCCCGGAGAACGTGTTTCTAAAGTCCGGCTCCGCTGGCAAACACCAGCCTCTGGCCGCCAGCTAAGCAGCCCGCAGAGGGACCAAAAGCCCCGCAGAGAGACTCCAGCCTAGGGCCAGGAGCTCTGGGCGGGCTGGGAGCGCGGCTGGGCAGGCCCAAGCAGGAGTGCTGCTGTGCTTACCTCCTCCAGCAGCGAGGACTCCAGCTGGCTTAGCTTCTCCTCTTCCTTCTTCAGCAGCACCTGCCCTTTCCGCATAGCCGACTTCATCTTCTCCAACCGCTTTGCTTCCTGCAGTGGACCAACAGCCAAGCCAAGGAGGAAAATTAAACAAGGATGACAGGAAATAACCTGCGTTCGTGGTCGTGGTGACTTTCGTTATCTCGCTTCTGCTCAGCACGGGGAATCGTGCTGCTGGAGTACAACTGCTCCCAGGCCTTCGAGAGCGCGGGAAGCGGAGCGTGCAGAGGGCAGAGCCCAGGCCTCAAAGCACGTTCACCCCAGGGAAAAGGAGGTTTCACTTCCACACCCGGCAGCCAACAGGGTCAACAGCTTTGGTTCTGCAGACGTAAGCAGAGCGCTTATCGCGAGCGAGGGAAACTACGATCTTCCCTGTCTTTGCCTGGCGTACCGGCAGAGCTGGCAAGTGCTCAAGAACCCTCTGCCAAGCAAGGGTGAAATCACTGTAGAGCTACGACCCTAAATTTGTACCCGCTGATGGGACAGATACCTGTCGCTTCCTTTGCTAGGAGGAAAAAGCGCGTTATGGGACCTGCGGGGCACGGGAATCCCTCTTTCCCCACCAAATGCCTTCTCCGTTTTCAAGGCGCCCAGAGCTCCTGGAAGCTAGCAAGCTACTGAGCACGGGCCGCACTGCAGCCACTGCTTCGTAGAGCCTTCCTAGTCCGCAGCGCACACAGCGAAACAGAACCGAAACTCTTCTACCGCGCAACGCTCCGTTAGCTGCGGGCCACGCGTGCCCACGCAGGCGCTCTGGGCCGCTCGTCTGACGCACGGTAACGTCGCTGCGATCCGCAGCCTCTAACCCTCGTGTTATGATGAGGAAGACGCGAGGAGGGACGAACGCCGCGTATCTAACCCAAAAAACACGCGAGATCCGATTTCCAGGAGGACTCGGCCCCCCCAGCTGCCCGTCACCGCACCTGCAGAGCCAGGAACCGAGCCCCGGGCTGCGGGTTCGTTCGCGCAGCCACGATGCCGACACCCGGACACGGGCGGCGCTCAGCTCACCTCCTCCAGGTTCCGGCGCACGCCCTCCAGGAGCTGGGAGCTGTCTAGATCCCGCACCGCCTCCCGCGCTTCCTGCATATCTTGGCGCCACTGCTGCTTTGCAGCTTTCAGCGCCGCGTGCCTCTTCCTCATGGAGAGGGTGTGGCGCACCAGGAACTCCTTGGCGTTCCTGATGAAGATCCCTTCCGCAGAGATGTAGCTCCTGACGCTAGGCGAGAGAGAGACGGGCATGCCCCTGGCTTTGCGCTGGCTGTGCCGTCCTGCAAGCCTCACGCAGCCCCCTCCCCAAAACCGGAGGGCCAGCTCAACGCGCGTAAACCCCAGCAAAAACATTTGCTTGCAAAACCAAAGCGACAACGTTTTCCAGAAGCGGCTGCCATGCAGATACTCACTGATCAAACTGGAAGGCGCTGTTCTCATGGCTTTGCGAGGGCGGGGAAGCAGGCTCTCTGGGCGAGCGCTGAGGAGTTGAAGCATTTCAAAAACTAAGGAATACGCATGGGAGACGGAACCCCAGGATCCCATTAGGAGCAAAAATTTGGAATGACATCATCGTGGCATCGCCCAGATCCCAGACCAGTGCCGGGGGTGTTCTTTATCTGACTCGTGAAAAGGAACACAGGCATTTCCATCCCTGACTCAAGTCCTGCCTTGGACTCCAAGGGCGCTCAAGGATCCGACAACTCCTTCCCCCCCCCCCCCCCCCCCACCACGCCCCCCACCCCCTCAGAAACCACGTCGCAACCCTACCCCAGCACCACCAGTCCCACACCGACCACTACCCCATACGTCACCACCACCACCTCCACCACCTCACAGTACACTCCTTCCTGTGAACCCGAAGCGTGCTCCTGGAGCGAGTGGTTCGACGTCGACTTCCCCTCCTCGGGGCCCAGCCAGGGAGACTTCGAAACCTACCAGCACATCCGGGCCGCCGGGAAGGAAGTCTGTCAACGTCCAAAGGAAATTGAGTGCCGGGCGGAGGACTACCCCGACATTTCCATCCAAACCATCGGACAGGTCGTGCAGTGCGACGCCCGCTTTGGACTGGTGTGCAGGAACGAAGACCAGAAGGGCAACTTTAAGATGTGCCTCAACTACAAGATCCGTGTCCTCTGCTGCAGCCCGAACTACAACTGCCGAAGCACCACCCCCTCGTCCACCACCAGCCCCACCACCATCACCACCCACAGAACTCCAACCTCCACCACAGTCACGACCTCCACCTCCTCCCCCTCCACCACGCTGTCCACCTCCTCAGAAACCACGTCGCAAACCTACACCAGCACCACCAGTCCCACACCGACCACTACCCCATACGTCACCACCACCACCTCCACCACCTCACAGTACACTCCTTCCTGTGAACCCGAAGCGTGCTCCTGGAGCGAGTGGTTCGACGTCGACTTCCCCTCCTCGGGGCCCAGCCAGGGAGACTTCGAAACCTACCAGCAACCCCCCCCCCCCCCCCCCCCCCCCCCCCCAACAGACAGGACCCAACAATTACTGCTAAACGCGTCGACGTCCCCTGGCAAAGAAAACGCGTCGCTGCATCTCAACCGGCTTCACGCAGAAGGAACAAAAGCTGGGCTTTTCAAGGCAGTTACGGCCTCCGATCCCACAGGGAAGCACCTTTACGGTCCGCGTTACTCACAGCTTGAAGACTTTCTCTCAGGTCTTCAACGTGGAGCTCGGCTTTCCTTCTCGGAGATTCCACGCTTCCTTCTGCCTCCAGCTCTTTCAAAGTCTCCTGTTTGCTCCTGACAGCTGCCTCCAGCTCACTGCCCCGAGAAAAGGCAACAGCGGCAGCGCTTGATTAGACCGGTAATCCATCTGCAGCCGCGTCCAAAGCGACCTCCAGTTTCCAGGAGGGAAAGGGCCGCAGACGTGCAAGACGCCACCAGTATCGGCTCTGCGGGGCGACGTCGGACGTAGCCCCCGGCTGGGCAGGGAAACGTCGCTTCGCGCCCTCACCCAGAGCCTCAGCTACCCTCAGGAGAATCTTTTCTCCGCATTTCAGTGCCCCTCTCCGAGCATCTTATTAAGCTCACAAGACAGACGGGGAGAAGACAGACCAATTAACCTGGCAAGCAGGGGCAAAGTTACACAGCGAGTTACTAATAGATGTGGAAACAGCCCCCGGGACCTCCACGCCCTCGACACGCAGTAAAACCACCGTCAGGGTTCTGAAGGAGCACGGCCCAACACGCAAGAGGCTCAGAGGTGAGGGAGAGACCCAGGCGAGGTCAGAGAGGTTTCCGTTAGGAGCACAGGGGACATTTTTTGCACGAGATCAAATTTCTCCTCCACGCACCTGATGCGTTTCTGCAGCCTCTGGCTGCGGGTCTGCAACAAGTCCACCTGGGCCTCCAGCTCAGCTTTCTGGTCCCGGAGCTCCTCAAGGGACCTACGCAGCTGCCGGAGGGACTCAAGGAGGCTGGCGTGCTCCTTCCTGTTCTCCTCCAGGCGGAGCTGAGAAGCTAAAGCAGCTTCCTAGAAGAAAACCAAAACAATCCCTCACAGTCCTTTCCCCAAAACCAAAAGGAAAGGCGCTCAGTGGCTCGCCACTCGCGCAGTTCGCAGGAGGTCCCGGAGCTACGAATGCACGTGCCAGTCCTGGAAGAAGAGGGCTGTCTCTTCTTTTTGGGAAGCAGCTCAGAGCTAATCAACCTCCCGGCAAGATGGCGCTCCCGGCTGAGGCAGGGAGGGATTTTCATACTCACAATTCAGAAGCAACAGTTTGCTTTTTTAAAGCCGTAGTTCCAACGTGCTCCCCTCAGCCCCAAAAGGAGGGCAGCACGGCACCTCTCCGGAGCTAAGACATACATACATCTCTTTCTAGCTCAGTCCGTCTGTCTTCATCCAGCAGCTGCTGCCTTTTCTTTCTCAGAGACTCCTCCTAGGTCCAGATGAGAAAGTAGGCGAGTGTCAGAGCGAGGAGACGGCCGACGCCGAGCAGCACTTGAAGTACCGGGGTCAGGCCTGAGTCTCAAGACCATTTCAAGACACCCGAGGACTCTTGTCAGTGCTGCTTTATTCCCCCTCCTGCGCTCAAGATCCCCTGCCTCTCTGACTTCAAGCTGGGAACGTTTGCGTTCCCGTGGGAAGAACGGCCCTTCCTGCTCAGCTGCGAGGGCACTCAAGGCACGCAGCCGCTTCTGCGGGATCTTGCTTTTCTGAAACCTCTGCTTGCCTCCGGCATTTCTCCGCCTTTTTACTTCTCACTCCAGCGCCGCTTGGAAAGGAAGGGCTGACCGAAGCAAGGCTACCTACAGCCCTGGGCACAGGCCAGCACTTAGAGACCTGGCAGGCGAGAGCATCAGCCGGTGATCTTTGCCAGCTCCACAGGAGCATTTGGGGTGCTTCCCTCTCCCACCCTGCTGCCCAAGATCCAGCAACGCTCATTGCCTTTTCACGGCAGCAGGGAGAAGAGGAGGTAGATCGGGAAGGGACTGACTAAAATCCAAAGTTACGCTGAGCAGGACGCGCTGCCTCGAAAGGCTTTTATGGTCCCTCTGCCACTTACTGCCTCCCAAAGCCCCGACAAAGCCAGAGCGCTGGCTGTCGCTGCAAACATCAGTCACGAGGACCGCTTAGCCCTGCTCCGCCTCGTGATGGAAGCTTCACCTGTAGCTTGGATGGCAGCACAAGCCCTGGCTGAGCGCTTCCGAAAGTCCCCCCCCGAGGGAGCAGCCAGAGGAGCAGCACGGGCTAGGAGACCTCCGCGAGCCCACCAGGGCTGACTCACCTGGCTGAGGAGCTGCGCTGATCTGGCTTCGACGTCCCTCATGCGCATTTCAAGCTCCATTTCCGAATCCTGGAGTTCTCTTTCCTGCAGGGAGATGCCGAGTCAAAGAGAGAACGGCACGAGTTCCTCACTCGCCGGGCAGAGCTCTGCCACCAGGAGGAGCAAGGAAAACTGGGGAGGTGTGACGCGCCGCTTGCGTCGCCCTGGGCTGGCACGCACACGGAGGTGTCACCACGCCCAGGCCGTCCCCAGGCAGCCAAGTCACAGCAACCTAAGGCAAAGGGTTCTCCTCACCTTCTCCCCGTGCCTGTGCTGCAGCGCAGCCAGCCGCTCGTCCAGCTCCGCCTGCAGAGCCTTCACCTCCTCCGCGTGGAGCTGCTGGAGGCGCGCCTTCTTACTTCGCAGGCCTTCGAACAGCTCTGCCTTTTGCTTCCGCTCCTGTTTGTCGCAAAACCCAAAGAAGGAAAGCGTCTGAGTGAAGCAGAGGTTCTCCAGCAAGGCCACGGGAACCCACGGGACGCGCGCCCTCTGGAAAGCCAGCCCGTCCCACAGCAGCTCCCGAGCAAACGCCAGTCAGCAAATTAACACCGCTTGCTTACAGGGACAACGCTGTCAAGGGAGCGGCTCAAGAAAGAAGGAGCCACCCATGAAACTAAGGTTTTGTCACGCGCTGCCGACTGTATAGTCAAAAACGGGAGGCAGAAGGCTTTCCAGAACAGGCACCTGCAAAAACGTGAACGAGCTTCGCTTGTACCAAAGTCCACAAAGGCACGTGGAAGGGGCCTGCCCAGAGACTATTTGGACAGCTGATCCTTACAACCCCAGCCTAAATTCATTTTACGTTATGGCAACAGTTCTGCTAGAAGAAAGGAGACTTCCAGCTCTAGGAGCGGCCGAGACAGGCGGGCCTGGCAAGCAGCAGTGCCAGCCCAGGCGCAGCCCAACTGAGCAACTCGCTGCTCTCCCCCCGCAGTACCTCCTCCTCGTACTGGTCCTGAATCCGTGCTAGGACCTCCTGGTGCTCCTCTTTCATCCTCTCCATTTTCCTCTCGTGCTCGTCTTCCACTTGCCGGCGTTTCTCTCTCATAAGCTCGCCGAGCTGCGGGGGTAACACGGACAGATATTTCCCCGACCTGCGGCGCTGCGCTCCGGTGGCCCCCCAGCGATCAGCCTCTCGCACGAGCAGAGGGACCGAGGCTCCGAGCACCTTGCGAGGGGCATCAGGCTGTGGCCGGGGCAGCGCAAAGCCAGCGCCCTGGCGAGGCGAGATGCTGCAGGGGCGTCCTTTCCCCGAAGGCGCCGGTCACCCCTGGGCAGGGGACGCGGCCCCTCGGGCCTCACCACGCGCCCAAGGAGAGAGGGTGAAGAACCCTCAACAATCCGAGATGAGTACTCGCCTCGCGTTCGTATTCGGTTACTCGAAAGGCTTTTTGCTGCACTTTCTGCTCCGCTCGCTGCAAGTCGTCACGCAGCCGAGCCTCCTTGCTCCTCTGTGCCTCTGCTATCTGGGTTCGCAGGCTGGAAATGACCTGCCATGAAAGCCGCCCACGGAGACTTGTCACCCTTCTGACAAGATCCATTTAGGGCCCTCCTACAGAGAGCAAGCACCGCGGCAAGGACCAGCGCGTGCAGCCTCACCGCCCCCGACTTGGAGCACGTCCAAATGCTGAGCCAGACCAGGCCCGCATTTAGGAAGCGGGAAAAATTTAACGACGCCCTCCCTGGCCACCTTTGATGGCAGCGTGGGGGAGCAAAACAACCAGTTTACTTTCTGAGGACACCACGTTTTACCTTACGATGCTTCTCTTCTGCTGCGGATTTCACCTGCTGGAGTTCAGCTGCAAACTGTTTCTCCAGCTCTTCTGCTGCCTACGGGAACAGGAGCAAGACAGGCTGCTGGAAAACCTCTATTTGTGGGGACGTGCTGCGCAAGACGCATTTGCAATTAGCACCTCTCCGTCAGCATCAAAAAAGCGCACGGTAACCCCCTTTCAGGCCGGACTGTACACGAGGTGCCTTCACTCTCGCTGAGCTTTCCCTCCCGAGCGGGAGGGTGCTTCTCCCTCCCTCCTCCGCAGATCTCAGCCGCGCTGGGCTGGACGGACTACAGACCGCCTCCGTGCAGGAACCCCCCAAGCTCTCCGGAGGACTACAGCGGCAGCCGAAGCGGTAGTCCGAGCGGATAAAATGGCTCGGTTTAGCTCGGCAGAGACACGCGGCGATCCTTCTTTTCGTCAGATGCAATGTGGCCATTGAAGTAAGTGCTATTTAATCACCATGGTAATAAAAATTGGGGGAGTACTCCTCCCCACCTCCGTCACGCCTCTAACAGCACGCCTAACATCTTTCCTTTAGGTTTCAAGGCAGCCGTTATTAAAGCGCGTGCAGGCGTTGTTTAACCTCAACACTTGAGCGTCGCGAAGCCAGCCAGGTCAGCACGAACAGCACGGCTCTGACCCTAGCTGGCAATAAACACCTCACCTTCTTCTTTTCCCTGTCTAATCTCTCCTTGAGCTCACGCAGGACTTGCTCCTTCTCTTGTTCCAGCCCCACCATCTCCTTCTGCCGAGCTTCCTCCATTTCCAGCTTCATTTTCTCCAAAGCGAGCTGGTGCTGCTTCTCCAGGCTCTCCTTCTCCATCACCTGCAGGGACTCCCACTCTTCTCTTAGTTTCTGCAGCGCGACCTCTTGCTCTGCCCTGCCGGGTTTGCGACAAGAACACAGACAGAGGCAAGTCAGGATTCGGTCCTTTACCGCCGGCCTCCGTTTCGGAACCAGAGCTGACAGAAGACACAGCTAGAGGACAGGACACGCAAGCCAGAAGGAACCAGGAACCACAGCACACAGATCCACAAGCGCGGATCCAAAGCTCAGGCCTTGGAAACAAACAGCAAAGCAGTCGGGTGCAGACATATCCGTCAGCTAAGAAAAAAAAGAGAGAGGAAAATAGAAGTTTGCCAGCGGCTGCCTTTTCTGCCTCCTCCGGCGGTTTTAACAGGCCTTAACCGCCGTTAGACGGAGACGTCCGCTCAAGGCAAGCCACGCTGCCGAGCGCGGCCGTCCTTGCAGATGCCACCTCTTTCATTTCCAGGCCCCAGGGCTGCGCCTGGTCCAACATTACAGCAGCACCTCTCTCAGGGCACTTCTGCACCGTACGTCTACTTAGCAAAACTGGATCAGCTCCCAGGCGGCAATAAGGTCCCTCCGTTTTACCTCCTTTCGACACGCGGCTCCCCGGCACGTGCAGCGTCACGGCTGGGGCCTCGCGCTCACGGCCGAGGCAGGCAACCGGCCACGGGAGGCTCGGGCGGGCTAGCACCTCCGCTTTGAGCGGCTGCCGGTGGCATGCAAGGCGCTTCCCTCCCAGACCAGCAGAGTTTGGGTCCCCAGGGATGGCAGCAAAAAACTTGTCACCTTATCTTCTCCTTCTCTGCCTCCGTCTCCGAGGCGATTCTGGCTCGCAGCTTTGAGAGTCTCTCAGTTTCTTCCTTTCTGACACGCAGCTCTTCCTCCTCAGAAGCCTTTGCCAAATCTTCTTTTAGAGTCCTGAGAGATGAGCAGCTGGGGAAAAAAAAAAAAAAAAAAGAAAAAAAGAAAAAAAAAAAGAGGTTCAGGAGGCTTTAATGTCTTCCAACCACCTCCCCAAGGCCTATAGATCAGCCGCTGCTCCCACTCGCTCTGCCCGCCCAGGCGACGCGTTGCCAGGGCTCCAGACCATTCATTCTCTTCCCCACCTTCCGAACCTGGCTGCTGGCACGGGAGACGCAGCCCCCAAGCACCAAACTTCCGTGGCAGGCTTTTAAAATGCACTCTATCATCAGAGGTGGCACTTGGGGTTTTTTCCCAGGTAAATGAAATCAGCTCCTATTAAATGAAAGCCACGGGGCCCGGATGCTTTACTGCATCTGTAAGCTTCCTATTTCCATGAGACACCCTTTCTGCTACTGCTTTAGTACCGCATAGACCTTTTTCCCTTTCTGTGTCTTCCCTCGCACCCAAGTCAGCATTCCCGTGACATTTCATGCCAAGATACTGTTTCTGGCTGGCTCGGCCTGCTAAGAACATAAGTATCAAGGCCACCTGAAATAAAAGACAAGCCTTGAGAGAAGAATCCCCCCAGGGAGAGGACACGGCTCCCAGTGCCGTTCTGCTCCCTGCGTTGCTACGAGACCCGCGTGCACTGGCTGGCTTTCACGCAGGCATCCGTGCCCCGTTCCTTCAAGTCTCGTTTGGAAGCGCCTCTGTAAAACGTACCGCGCCAGAGGTTCAGGCAGCTCCTCTGGGGTAACCTCACCTCCTCTAAGGCTCCCATTGCCAGTCCCGTTACCAGCATTTCACCCAGGATTTGAACGCCTGCCGGGCGGCAAAGCTCCACGCGCCCAGCTGGGAGCTCTTCCCAGGTTAACCGTAAGAGGCAGGCTCAGAGCTCTGAAAGCTGCACGTGTATGGCATCAGAGCTCCTCTTGCAGGACAGGGGAAGATGCTCTCTTGCCTGCGCTGGAGAGCGCTTTCCTGCGGCAGACCGTGCTCTCCACGCATCTGCCTTGAGCATTTGCGGCGCCGACAGCAGACCCCTGCTCATTTCAAGGTGCGCAGACCCTCGCGCGCAGGGCTGTCCGTGCCGGGCAGGGAGCCCCGCGCTCCTCCTCCCCAAAAGCCTCGTTCTTGCCTCCTTCGCCCACAACTCCGCAAAGCAGCCCCGCTGCCAGGGTGGTGGCCCATACCGGCACAAGCCTGCAGCCGCCGGCAACGAAAGCGCAGCTAGGAAAGGCTCGTAGGAGAAAGCGGGGAGGTGGAGTAAAAGAGGAACGTACCTGAGGGATATTTCTTTCTGCTGATGAAGCTTCTGAGCTTCCTCCTCCTCCTGCTGCCTCATCTCCTCCCGGAATTGCCGAATTTTCTCCTTCTTCGCTTGCAATAAACGCATTTTCTCTCGCTCCAGCTCCAGCTCCTCAACTATTCCCTCCAGGGATTCTTCACTAGGCTGGTTCAAGGACTGCCCGTGTTTGATTTCCTTCTTGGGGCGCCTGCCGAAAAGAGAAAGCTCCTTTAGGCAAAAGGGTGACAGAAAACCGAGTAACACGAAAGGAACAGCCACATCCCCCCACGCAGTATCGACTCCAAACCCAAAACCTCAGAGCCACCTACGGCAGAAGCTTCACCGTCGGCAAAGGGAAGGGACGAGCAGAAGCCCCACCAGCCATCAGACCATCAGTTTAGCACAGCAACAGGCCGCAGGCTTTTGCGGGGAACCTGGGCTCGACCGTCCTGCGCTCTGACCTTAGTCTCTCAAAGCGACCCACGTTCCCAGCGACCGTAAGAGCGGGGTGAGGTGCTGGGGTTTTGTTGCTCCCCCGCAACCTCGGCACCGCTCAGCGAGCCAAGGCAGGAGGCTGCGCGAAAGCGTTTGCCAAAGGAGGACGAACGCTTGCAGCCTCGTTGGCGACGCTGGCAAGGAGGAGGCTTTCCCAGGCACAGAGCAGACCGCTCTGTCTCCGTACCACGGAGTCCTGCGCCACAGCCCCCAGGGCTGAGCCGCTCTTCGCGCGCTCCCCAGCGCAGACCGTTCACACAGCTGCTCCGATTTGCGCAGGGAGGGAGACGTTCGCGCTCTGCTGTGCCCACCAGACCGCATCTCCTGGCATGCTGACTTCAGACACCACGAAGGGCAACAAAAGGACAAGAGCTGTTACGCTTACAACACCGGGGACTTAACTGAAGCCCTTACGCCTTCCGTGGGGCAGCGAGCTCCTCCAGACTGCTGGGGCTACCCAGCGATCCCTCCTCCGCCTCCCGGGCCACAGCCTCCTCCCGACTGGCATTTTCTAAAGCAAAACACTTCTCTTCTGACGTTTCCCAAGCACTTTGCTCCCTTATGCTTTGCGGCGCAGAAAAGGTAACAGAAGACCGGATTAGCACAGATCAGATGCTAGCGGCTGCCGCAGGTAGACGAGGCGGAGGGAAGAGGGGACGGGCAGGTGGCGCGGACGGGCACCGAGCCATGCCTGCCAACGGGACCCCTTTGGCCACCGCGGGGCTGCCAAAGGCACCGCAAAGCTCCAAACCGTCCCCACCGCCTCGAGGCCTGCCGGGCTAACAGGCAGCCGCGGCTCTCACGGCTGTCGGTCTCAGAATGCCGAACCCCCTGCCCTGGATTAGCCCCCTCTCTTTCCGAGTCCTTGGAGCATCTCCCCAAGACAAGTCAGCCCCGCGAGCAGTACTCTCGCTGTTGTCCGAGTTACAGACGGGAACATTGGCAGGCATGTTTACACCTCCAGTCCTACTTCATCTCAGGATAACAGAGCAGAGAGGCAACAAAGCAAGCACGAGCCAGCTTTACAGGCCGAGAGAAAGAGAGGCTGCACAGCTGGGAAGCAGGTACCAAGCGATAAGGAGACAGCTCCTGCGGGCAGAGCACGTTTTCGGGGACCTTCCCGCGAACAGCTCCTCTACGAACAAGGCTGCAGATCCCAAGGGCGTGCAGCCAGTCGTTAAGATGGACTGCAGCTTCTTCTGTTCACAAGTTTTCCTGGCACGGGTAACAGCTCCTCGGTTCCCGGCGCCCCAGAGGATGTGTAACTCTGCGCGGAGGCTAAGAGTTTTGACACGATTCATCTATAAACGCCACACGCTGCAGCTCTCGGAGAGGGAGGGAGGGGCTCGAGGGAGCACGGAGCTCACGGCTCAGCACAGCATTTCCACTGTTTTAAACGAGTGGCCACAAACAGGCTGAAAAGAGCTCCCCAGACAGCCTAACTAAGGGCCTGGAACCAGCGTTGCTCTCGGCGTAACAGCCAGCGCGCTCGAGCGAGTCGTCCGTGTACCAGGACGTAAAATAGCTTAATGCTCACAGCTGGTCAAGCAGTGACTTGCTCTGGGCCACCTCTGTGGAAGGAAGAGGACGACAACCGTTCACACTGCAGCTGGACCCTCCTGCCAGCAGCGACAGGCACCGGGCTGGCCCTGGGAGCCTTCAGCTGCAGGCTCTGCCCAGCGGAGAGCCGGCAGCCCAGCAGGACCAGCGCCGGCCGAGACGGGGGCTGCCTCAGAACCAGAAAGGTCTCTCGTCGGGCAGCCGCCCGCGGCCAAGTCTTCCACGGTTCAACGCCGCAGGGCACAAGACACAAGGTTAACAGGTTCAGAGCATCCCGGCAGGAGCGTGACTTTCAGAGCCTTAGAGAAAAGCCAGAGAGCTGTAAGGGAAACAGAAGCCAGCTCCACATCTGGGGCAGTCTCGAGGAAACGAAAGGCAGGCGGATTTGCTGCCTACCCAGCCAGAAGCCGAAACAAAGCTGCAATCCGCTGCGACAGTCCCGAGGAGGTGGCAGGAGGAGCGAGAGGGAGAGACCCCGCGAGAAGCGGCAGCGTCTCAGGGCGTTCTACGGGGACGCCTGCACGGGTTACAGGGAGCAGAGCAGAGCAGGGGCAGACAAGACGGGAAAGCCACCCGGAGCTAGAGCTGGCTACACCTCCTCTCTTGCTCTGGCTGTTTGTACCATACCTCTCAGCAGCTTTTCTTCTTTGGCTTTGCTCTTCCTCTATACTGGCTTCGCTTTGCTCTTCTTCCTCTTCTCCCAGCTCCCGGGCCTGCAGGTAAAAGCAAACAGCGTGGAGTTTGCTGGCTCCTTCGCCATCGAAGCCTCTCAGGACCCGGCGGCGGTTCTGCTAAGGGCAGCGCCGCTCTGGTCCAGCCCATCGGCGCCGAGCAAGCAGCGCCCGCGGGCTGCTGCGGAGCGCCCAGCCGAAGGGGCCAGCCTCCTCTCCCGCAGGCAGCCACGGGTCTCAGCGCGTCGCGGGAGCGGTTCCAGCAGCGCAGCCGAGAGGCCGGGGAGCTCGGCTCTCCGGGCTGCGCTGGGTTACGGGCTGGGGCTCGCGTTTTCAAGGCGGAAGATGAACTCCCTGCCGGCACTCTAGACACAGGCTGGGTTTTTTCCCTGAGGATCGTCTTGGACACGTGAGTAACACTAAACGCCCTGAAAAGCGTGGGACGACAAAAAAAAAAAATCTCCTAAACCAAACAGGAACGTCACACGCACGGAAGCGTGCCGGGGCCATAAAGCGATAGATGTATTGGCCGCGACCGGAACGGCACAGGACTCAGTCCTGCCCGGCACCCCGGACCTCGGGCAGATCGCGACGAGCGGCGCGCGCGCGCAGTCGCACCTCCCCAGGGATTTCTGACCGCTCGCTCCGGAACGCGTCACGTCGGGTGCCGCCAAGGAAGCCAGCCCCCTCGGGAACGCACCCTGAGCCACTACGGTTGGCTTACTTATGACGTAGTAAATACTTGAAATACAAACAGCAAATATTCGGATACGAACTAGCCAGCTGCTCCTTCTCCCACCTGCCAGCTCCGGGCACCTCCGTCCCCGCAGCAGGCGCACGCGAGCGCGCACCGCGCCGTTCGCCTGGGGAGGGGAAGAGCTTCCCTCCTCGAGCTGCCGGCCCCGGCTGACCGAGCCGTAAGGGCTCGCCCTCCCTGCGGAGGCTTCTGGCCCCCAGAAGAGCGGCCCGTCGGGACGCTCTTGGGGACCACAGCAACAGCAGGTGGGCTCAGCCCGCGCCACGCGGGAGAGTACCGTGGAGCAGGGTCAAAATAAGGCAGGATTAAACCAGCAGTAATTTCTGCAAGCGTCCAGCGGAGCAAAGAGCAGAAGGATTCCCTGCAAGCGCTGTCACCTTCCGTCACATCAGCCTGGTCAGAGCTCGCCCAGGCGGCTCCCCCTCCCAGCCTCCCTCCTGCCCCCTGGAAAACGATGACTTCAGTTCTCCAGAACCGAGGAGCTCGGCAAACGTCTCCTGGCTCAAAACAGGCTCTGTAACTGCTGCCTGCGAAAGGAGAGAAGCCAGGCAAATGGAGAATGAGAGCTCCCTGGGAACGGGGATAACCAGGCCCCGGGGAACGCTGCTGAGCCCAGGCACGGGCCAGCGCTGCTCTCCTGCCCAGCGCCCCTTCCCGGGAGGGCGGCCCCTCGCCAGGAACCGCGGGCTGCGGGAACCTCTGGGCACATTCGAGGAGGCGAAGACGGCACCTGCCCGCGGGGACCGAGGGCTGGTTTTAAGCCTTGCCTGTGAAATTACCGCCCCTCCTGCTGCCTCAGCATCCCCAGCAGTCCCAGTACCGCAAACAGCCTAGCGTGCCGTCCTGCCCAGACGCCCGGCTGCACGCCACCCAGGAAATCTCGCACGCCCGCAATACAAAGCCGGTCTTGCGGCCACAGGAGAGCAGGATGACAGCTCGCAGGCCGTCTCCTCCCCCTGCACAGCGCCGTGCCCAAGGGACCTCAGCAGGAGGATCTCCACGACCTCCAGCACGCACCAGCTTAGATGCGCCCCTCGCAAGCCGGCTCTGCTAAAGGGTGCGTCGCTTGCGCAGCTACCTGCGCCTCGCCTCCGCGGAGAAAACAAGAGCGCTGCTCTAATCCCTGCCCTGCCGCAGGCAGGGCGCTGAACGCGCCGCTTCTGCTTGCCTCTGCAAAGCCGTTCTGCCGACACCACCGTCCTGCCATTAGTACGCCACAATACAGTATTCTACCCCGGCTATTCACAGCTCCGTCCCCGAGCACATATACAGCACTTACCTTGCACGTGGGGCGGTCCAGAACAGGAGACAGAACCCCCGCGTCCAGTACCTGCTCCAAAAGCCGACTCTGGAAAGCCAGGTCCTAAAGAAGGAAGCAGAAAAGGATCCGTGTCTGATGAGCACGCACAGGTTTTACCCGAGATCCTGACAGGTTAGGCCAAAATCCTGACACGGCTGGGCCTCCACGCTCACTGCCCTGCTGACAGCCAGCCTTCTGCAGCACTGGGCATCTGAACATCAGAACGGTTTACAGGACACGGGAGATGGCTACACAAAGACTCGGCCCCACGTCCAAGCAGAGGTCCTGTCCGTACTGCAGGCAGGCAGATGGACGGACGGCTCTGTTGGCGGGTTCAGGGGCGGCAGCGGGGGGGG